TCCTCAGTTGCTCATAGAAAATCCCACCTTGGAGTTTACAAAGACTTATGGGTAGAAAAGCCACACTAAGTAATTTACTACACTGCACTAAGTAATGGCTCTTCACTAACTTGGCTAGCTGTGTGACTTTGTGCAAATTGCTAACCTCTCTGGGCTTTATTTGTAAAATAAGAGGATTAGATTCACTGGTTTAAAGATACATGATTCTGTGAAGGATAAGACTTGTCCTGTGATGCCAAAAGGCAAGCTAAAGAAAAAAATGTGTAACAAATTGAAGTAGACATATTTCAGCAGAGTATCAGAAAGAACTTAGTGAGTGGATGGGCTGTATCACTGGAGGTAGTTAGAACAGAGGAAGAGTGACCATCTGTTGAGAGAGGTGCCACAACAGTGATTGCTGCTCTGTTGGAAGAAAGTTGGATCCTCTGTGGCTCTTTCTAAACACTCTGTGTAATTCCACAAATAATGGCAGTGGAATACAAACCATTTATGACTATCGATATGATTCTATCTTTTCTGTGTTAAAGATGTAATTGCATCTTATCAAAACATTGTCTGTGGTCTTTTATAATGTTGGCCAGTCAACTTTAATGCTACTTCAGATCATTTAAAAGGAAAAATCATCAATCTTTTTAATTTGAGTGGACAGTTTAGTTCATGACCTCTTGTATTTCCTATTTCCTCTTCTATAGGGGGAGGAGTTTTGGCCCACACAATATTAGGAGTTGCATGGAATGAGATTACAGGGCAGATAAAATTTCTGATTCTGGATCCACATTATACAGGGGCTGAAGATCTACAAGTTATTTTGGAAAAGGTAAGTATTTTTTCATTTTTCAACCTTTTTTATAGTACTTAATATGTACCAGGCACTGTCCTAAACACTAGGCATACTATAAAAAGTCTTTAAGTAGCTCTCAGTCTAGTGTAGGACAGAGGAGAGTCCATAAAGGATTCCCAAGAAAAAAATCCATGTAGGGTAGGCTTATGAGAAGGCTGATCCAGTAGAGGACCATGTTTAGAGGCAGTGAATGAAAAGCATAGCATGTTCTGGGAACTTCAGGTAATTTAATGTAATTAGAATTGTGTGTGAAGAGATGTGACTAGAGGGATAGATAGACAGCCACAAGACAGTAGTCACTGTGAGCCAGGCAGGGAAGCGGAGGCATTTAGAATTTAATCTTAAAGGTAGCAAGAAGGCTTCATTATAAGGGAGTGACATAGGTAGTAAAATTACTTCTTTCTGGCTGACTTGAGGGACTTTACTCTAGCCAGAATTATCTAGATAGAGTTTTCTGAAACAGTTTAGATAGAGTAAGGCATTGTCCTTGATTACTCACTCTGAAAATTGTACTCTCCTTTGTCAGTTAATACCTGTAGAACTTTGGAACTGAAAACAAAACAAAAACGTTGTTCTATTAGCAGTACAAGAAACCATGAAACCAAGGCCTAGCCATCAGTAGAAGAACTATTGACTCTAAGGTGACTGCAGGAGTTTGTTGTTGTTAGATGTTGTTGAGTCATTGCTGACTCATAGTGACCCTGTGTACCACAGAACAAAACACTGCCCGGTCCTGTGCCAGCCTCACAACTGTTATGTTTGAACCCAATGTTGTAGCCACTGTGTCAGTCCATGCCATCAAAGGTCTTCCTCTTTTTCACTGACCCTCTACTTTACCAAGCAGGATGTCCTTCTCCGGGGACTGATTCCTCCTGATAATGTCTCACCATCCTCTCTTCTAAGGAGCATTCTGCCTGTATCTTTTCTAAGATAGATTTGTTGCAGGAACTTAGGGGACTATGGAAAATGTTTTTACCCTCTTGTGGAATTTTCCTGAAGTTACCAGGTCAGTCACCTCAAAAGAAGCAAGCCTCCCTTATCTGCTTCTAACAGTTTCAGGATTAGCCCCTTCCCTACCTATTTCTTTCTTAAAATTTTGGATCTGGTTACCTGCAGAAGGCATGTGTGGAAGGATCAAATAAAATCAAAACAGTAGTAGTATAGCCTTTCTTATATTTATTTGTTAAGTAAAGAGGTTTAGGATATAAATTACAATATTTTGCTGAAAAGAAAAAATAGATAATAGAATGCTATTTACATTTAGGATCAGGTCTAAAAGACAATAGCCCAAACTCAATGGTAGTTACCTGGGGAGAAGAAGGAGTAGATTTGGTAGAGAATTTTTTTTTTTTTGAGCTTTTATCTTGTTAGAATTTTAACAATGTATCTTAACCTTTGGAATCAGAAAAAGAAAAATGAACAAATAAAAAGAGCATTTCTCATCAGCCCTCACTCCTCCACAGTAAAAAAGGAACCTAACACATCTCATTACATAGTTTCTTCTATGGAACACTTGACTCTAGGTCACTGCCAGAATATCCAGCAGCATTAGTTCGTTTAGGGTAAGGGATACTACCACCACTACTCATCACTCACTAAGTGGTGCCTTTTAAGAGTCCTCAGCTGCCCTCCTAAGTATTTTTCAAACAAAGCATTTCATTGGAACATAATATAATAGACCAGTCTTCCGATGGGTCTTTAAAATAAAATAAATCAGTGATCCTAGAAGAAATTTGATAAATTTATATATTTATAGTGGGATTTTGTTTGAAAGTAATTTTCTGTGCTAGAGGATAATAATAACTTAAAGAATGGAATGGAAGGTAGAATTGGTTGTAGCCTGAGGAAAATGAAGGGCATAGAATGTAATTCATGGGGCAAGCCCAGATTTCTCACTACCATATTTCATCAGATCTAAGATGCTGTTGAACGGTACATACTATATTCTTTTATGGACTACCAAGAAAGAAAAATGGATTGCCAGTTAAACTATCCTATGCTATCAGTGCCAGAGTTGTAAAACAGTATATATTAGAATAAAATACAGTATTTTGGAGTAACAGTTATAAGAAAGTTTTTCATTTTATGATTTCTGTGACTAAATATTACAGAATTAAAAGTTTAAAAGCCTACCTTAAATTTAAAAAAAAAAAAAAAAAGTAAATCTTTACAGTAGATTGTCTGTTCTTCCTTCCGCAGAGTGGCTGATGGGTTTGAACTGCCAGCCTTCTGTTTAGCAGTCAAATGCCTTAGGCACTGTGCCATCAAAGCTCCTTCTATTTTAAATGGACCAAATTAAATTACTTTTCTATGCTGAGTTGCAATTCAAATCTTTGAATCATCTAATCATTTTGATTTATTCCAAGATTCTACTATAGAACATCATGTTACTATATAGATCATATAGCCCTGTAACTTTGTAAAAGGCTTTCCTTTCTGTCCTCCCAAATCTAGGGCTGGTGTGGATGGAAGGGCCCAGACTTTTGGAACAAGGATGCTTACTATAATTTATGTCTTCCTCAGCGACCACAGATTATTTAAAGTATCTTGGACCTAAAGACTGTGGTAAAGTTATACTATACATTTGTTAATAAAGAATAAATTTAATTTCAGATTTTATTCTGGGTATAATTGATGTTTTAAACTGATTTTTTTTTTTCAAAGACTAAATACTGAACAAAGGAAAGAATTTATTCTTTAGACATTTCTTTAATAACTTTTAGAAGACAAAGCATAACCAAAATACAGGCATGTAAATACATGTATCCTCAAAAGTCATCTTCACTTGGAAGAAAATTTTCCTCCTTAGGAGTTTAGACACACACTGTGAGCCAGAAGCCATAGCTTATAGCTGAGCAGTAGATCTCCATGAAGGCCTTCTTCAGATCTCCTCATAACCAAGATGGCATCTGTTTTTAAAAAACATAATATACATTGTTACTGCTGTTGTTAGTTGCCTGAGTTCTGACTCCTAGCCACCCCATGTATACAGGGTAGAACTGCTTCACTGGGTTTTCAAGACTGTGATCTTTTGGAAGCAGATTGGCAGTCCTATCTTCAAGGCATCTCCGGGTGGGTTTAAACCACCAAACTTTTGGTTAGTAGTCTAGCACTTAACCATTTCCACCACACAGGGACTATATTAAACATTAAAAACATTTTTAAAAGCTTTTCTCCCTAACCTTCTACCATAAAGGACACTTTTTGGTCTCTAGAATCTAGCAGAGGGAACTATAACCAGTATCAAAATATTGTAATGAATGAAAATTACATTAGAAGGAAGAGTGCCAATATTTAAATGAAACATATAAGAGATCCTTGAGAAAGGACAAAAGCAGCAGCTACCAAATTACTTACCAACACCTCTTTTTCCCATTTCTATTTTCAGAACTTCTAAAACTTCGTTTCTGTCTGAGCACTGGGACACAGTGACTCCTATTGGAGGGTTCACTTGATTTTACAGTCTGCATACTTTTGATTGTGGTGAGAAACTTGGCACATTCCAAAAATCCGTATGACCAAGCAAGATCTTCAGCTGTTTGCCCATTCTTATTACATAAACTAAAATTAAGAGACAAAAATTGAGTTAATTAAAAATTGCTAACTGATTAGTGTTTTTTTCATCTTCCCAGGAGCTTTGAGCTTATACAAAATTAGTTGCAAAATTAAAGTGGTAAAGGAAGCATAGAAAAATTGCATTTTTGTGAAATTTTGTATCTTCAGTAACTTAGCACAGGTCCAGCACAGAATGGACTTTGCATTTTTTAATTAATGCAGTGGTACTTGGTGTCCAGTAAAATGAGTAAGTACCCAAAGGAAGTCGATGAGAACGTCTATAAAATGAATTTTCCTCAACCAAAACTGAAGTGGAACAGTGCCATAACAGAGAAAATACAACTCTGATTGCTCGGGATCCATTTTTTACTTACTCAAATTGATTATCATCAGATATCCCTAATCAGCCTAAATTAACATTTACATGAAGTTCATCAACTAGGTTATCACCATTTTTAAGAGCACTTATAATTAAACCTCAGGAGTCTTATTAGTGTAATACAAGAAAACAAAATTTGAAACCACTGATTTTATACTTACTCAATTTGGGCATTTCTGGCTACAAGCAGGCTAAGACATTCCAGGCTCCCAACTTTTGCTGCCTTGTGTAGTGGAGTTTCTCCAAAACTATCCTTAAGGATAAAAGAACACAATTCAGAGTCAACTCCCAAAACACTTTCTTCTGGGAAGTTAGTGAATGAAGTCTAATACTGACTATTTGAGGAAGACAACTGCATTACATCAGCCTGAATTTTTAAATCAGACTTTCCTATTTTTGATAAAGTTCCTTTAGTGTGCTACTTAATACAGAGTTTTCATTAATAATAGCATTATGTGGCTACATGTACATATATTAAAATTTAAAAATAAAAGCAAAATAAAGTTTTACGAAAAAACCAAACACACTGCCATACATTCCATTCCAACTCAGTGACCCTATAGGACAGAGTAGAACTGCCCTATAGAGTTTCCAAGGCTAAAAATCTTTATGGAAACAGACTGACTCATCTTTCTCTGGCTGGTAGGTTGGAACCGCTAACCTTTTGGTTAGCAGCTGAATGCTTTAACACTGTACCACCAAAATGTCTCAGAGTTCTACAGAAGTTTTTTTAAAAATATTAAAATTCACTAGGCTTTATTATTCAATAAAAGATGTGGACTACCAGAAGAAAATTCTGTAGGGAACTCTAATGATTGTAGGCATTCACAAAGATCTCAATTGCTACACTGAAACTTTCAGTACTATAGGAATTGACTCCTTTAGAAATAAACTATAGACCTCAATTTCCAATTAGCCAGTAGCCACATAAGGCTTGTGAGCATTTAAATGGTGGCTAGTCTGATGAGATGGGAGCTCTGGTAGCATAGTGCCTAAGGCACTGGACTGCTAACCAGAGGGTTGGTGGTTCAAACCCACCAGTAACTCCTCTGAAAGAAGATGGGGCAATCTACTTCCATAGTGATACTGCCTCAGAAACCCGAGGAGGGGTCACTATGAGTCGGTCTGACTTGAGGGCACATAACAACAAGAAGTCTGACGAGATGTGGTATAAATGTAACATACTGTGAAGACAGGATGAAAAGAAGAATGTAAAATATCTCAATTTTTTTTTTACACTGGTTACATGATGAAGTATTTTTAGTAAATTGGGTTAAATCACTAAAATTTTAACTTCTTGGTCATCTTTATTAATGTGAGTACTAGAAAAATTTAAATTACAAACGTGTCTTACATTATATTTCTGAGTCAGTGCTGCTCATATACATGTTTCTAACAATTGAAAGAGCTGAATAGTTTTGCGTCTAAGAAACGTTTGTGTGGATTTGGGGTGGAGGGGAGGGTGGACACCCAAACAATCAGTTACCTAGTTACCTGTTGGTTGAGGTCAGCGCCTGTTTGCAGCTGCCAGAGAAGAAAGCAAGCAAGACCTCCACTAGCGGCCAAGTGGACAGGCGACTGTTCGCAGGGATCCAAGGGTGCGTTCACGGAAGTCCCCGTGTCCAGCAGATGCTTCAGACCCTCCGTCTGCGGGAAGAGAACAGATTCCAGCACCTTCCTCGCCTTTGTCCAGTAACACACGTTTCTGGGTTGAAAATCTACCCTCACTCCAAAAACCCCAACGCTGACAAGGCTGGCCCCTGCAGCGCCTGGTGGTCAGTCCATTGACTGTCACCCTCGCTCCCGAGAAGGCAGACATCTGCAAGTTTAAGCCTGCAGTACAGAAACGGCCCGAATCTCACCCCCAGATTGCAATCAAGCAACAGCATTTCCAGGCCAAAGCCGAGACAGGAGCCGGAGGAGCGCAGAGCCGCGGCCACCCGCAGACCGGCAGGTAACTTGAAGGCTGGAGAACTTTAAGTACCGTGAGGCCAGAAGGCCCGCCCACCGCTTCCACTCTCCCAGCTCTGGCGGCTCCCTAAGCGACCCAACCCTTAACTCCAGAGACTTCCCTACACTGACGCACCCGCACGTACACAAACACTGGCATGTGCAACCGGTAACCCAGAGACAAGGGCGGGGAGGCAGACGGGTGCTATGGCTCGGATCCGCCAGCCGATTGGCCCGCTGGGGAGCTGCCTCGCCCGCCCACTTAAGGGAGGGGCTCTAAGCTCCCACTGAGCCCCAGCACGCGTGCGCATAGAAGTTACTGGGCCGAGAGGGCGGAAGTGGGGGTGTTTCGGCAGCAGTCAGGGACATGAGGCGCGCTCAGTTTAGCACGTCTCACGTTGGTTTGCCCAGTCATGTTGCTCATTTGGAGGAGCGAGAGTCACGGACGAAGCTTCTGGTATCTTGTACGCACGTATCCAGGAAACGAAGTTGTTATAAGTAGCTTTCCGCTCGGACAGCTTTGGAAACTGCTCTGCGTGATGCTGGGGCCCTTCTTACCCGCCACCCCACGCCCAGCTCCGGAGGAGTGATTTTCCTTCTGTCTCGTCTTCAAGATAGGCCCAGGCTGGCCGCTGTCATAGATGCCTGGAAATTTAGGCAGGAAAAGTGAGACCTAAGGGGTTTGGGAGTGTCTAAGGTGGTGCAAACTGTTAACGGTCTGGCTGCTGACCAAAATTTTGGAGGTTCTTGCCCACCCATTCAAAACCATGGCCCAGCCATGTTGACACATGACCTTAACTACCACAGCATTGCTCACATTGCTTCAAAAATAATTCTCTTTGTCATAGCTGGGCATTTGGTTTCCCCTTATTAATGGGCCTGAAAGCTTTTTAAAAGCTGAGCAAAGCTGGTGGAGCACAAAAGTACATCAGAATAGGTACAACTGGGGACAATACCTTACTTGCAAGTGACTGGAGTTTTACTGAACATGTAGCTGATGGGATTGCTTTGTTGAAGAGGAAGATGGTCTAAGATGCTCAACAGATAACATAAGCAGTGCTAATTCTACAAGTTTTCTTTGCTTTATTTTACATAAAATAAAACTAAACATCTCAGTAGCTGGTAGATGTGTTTCCAGGAGGATGCCGCCATTAAGAACGAGGTTAAAAAAAATGTTGAATGATGACTAAGTGATCAAATGAGTGAGAGAGATTGTGGGTTGAGTCTTGAAGGGTGAGTAACAGTTTACCAGCTGGTCTAGGAAGGGTAAGATGTCGCTAAGAAGTATAAAATATCTTCTAATGTTGAAAGAACTGTATGTAGTTCAGTCTTTGTACTGTATGGGATACATGTACAGCAATGGTGTGAAATAAAAGTTAAAAGAAAAAGGCATACAGATGAGGAATAATTACTATTAATATCTATTCCATTATAAACATTATATATAAACTAACATTAATTAAGCACTTTCTAGGCCTCAGGATTAACACTGACAGGTATGATTATCTTCTCCATTATACAGAAAAGGAAATCGAGGTTTAGAGAAGTTCAATAACTTTGTCCAAGATTATGTAAGAAGGATGGAGGTGGAATTTGAACTCAGGCAGTTTAACTACAGAGCCCACATTCTAATTATAACTAGAAGTGTGTGTGGTTTTTTAAGTTATTTATTTCAGAATTAATTTATTGAAAAGATCCATATACTGCTTAACTTATGACAGGCACTGTTCTAAAAGATTTATAAAAATTAACTTATTCATACTTTTTAAATACAATTTTATTTTGTTGCTGAGAATATACGTAACAAAATATACACCAATTCAACAGTTTCAACATGTACTGTACCATTTAGTGACACTGATTACATTCTTCAAGTTGTGCAACCATTCTCATCTTTTTTCTGAGTTATTCCTATCCCCTTAACATAAATTCACTGCCCCCTAAGCTTCCTATCTCATCTTTCAAGTTGCTGTTTTCGATTTGATCCAATATGAAAAACCCACTGCCGTTGAGTTGATTCTGATTCATAGTGACCCTATAGGACAGAATAGAACTGCCCTATAGAACAGAACTTCCCTATAGGGTTTCTAAGGCTGTTCATCTTTTTTAAAAACAAAACAAAACAAAACATTGAAATATAATTTATGTACAGTGAAATACACAAAACTAAAGTGACATGGGTCAATGCTTTTTTTTTTTTTTTTTTTTTGCAATGTTCTCTCCCCTCCCCTCCCACCTCTGGTAACCAACAAAGAAAGTTTCCTTCCATATATAAATCTTTCCTTGACTTTTTACAATAATGACCTAATACTATATTTGTCCTTCTGTGATTGACTTATTTCACTCAGCATGTCCTCCAAGTTCATCCATGTTATGTGGTGTTTTGCAGATTCTACATTATTCTTTAGTGTTGCGTAGTATTCTGTTGTGTGTATGTACCACAGTTTGGTTATCCATTCTTCTGTTGCTGGGCACATAGGTTGTTTCCATCTTTTTCCTATTGTAAATAGTGCTGAACGTGGGTGTGTATCTATCTGTTCTTGTCCTGGCTCTCACTTCTTTAGGATATATACCTAGTAATGGGATTGCTAGGTCAAATGGTATTTCTAATTCAAGCTTTTCAAGAAATCACCACACTGTTTTCCACAGTGGTTATATGTTCTTACAGTCCCACCAGCAGTGCAGGAGACTCCCAATCTCTCCACATCCTCACCAGTATTTGTTATTTTCTGTCTTCCTGAACTTTGCCATTACTTCTGGGGTGAGACAGTATCTCATTGTTTTGATTTGCAACTCTCTGATGGCTAATGATTGTGAGCATCTCTTCATGTGTTTGCTGGCCTCCTGAATATCCTCTTTGGTGAAGTGTCTATTCATGTTTCAGCCCCCCCCCCCTTTTTTTTTTAAATTTATTGTGATTTGGGTGAAGATTTACAAAGCAAATTCACTTTCTATACAGCAGTTCACATATACTTTGTCTCATGTCATTGACCACAGTTTACCACAATGCAACA